GATTCTCCTGCCTCAGCCTCCCAAGTAGCTGGGACTACAGGTACCCACTATCATGCCCAGCTAATTTTTGTATTTTTAGTAGAGACAGGGTCTCACCATGTTTGCCAGGCTGGTCTCAAACTCCTGACCTCAAGTGATCCGCCTGCCTCGGGCTCCCAAAGTGCTGGGATTACAAGCATGCGTCATGGCATCCGGCCTGTCAGGGAGGTTTTTCTGAAAAGGTGGTATTTGAGCAGAGGCTAGCATAAAGAGAAGCAATGAATTCTGCCCCTTCAATTAGAAGGTGCGCAGGAAGAGCAAGCGTTGCACAGGGAGAAGCTTGGAGTGTTGGGAACTGGAAGAAAGTCCCATGTGGCTGGAGTCAAGTGGTCTTCCTTAAGGAGTTTGGAGGGTTTTAAGTTGGAAGCTGCATTTTCTGAGACCAGAAACAGTCAAGAGCCACAAAGTTGTACTGAACCAACCCAAGGAATGGATGGACCCAGAAACAAAACATTTCTTATTCCCATGTAATAATTTCTTAACAGATTTATTGAGGTGGAATGTATATACAATACATTTTACATGTTTAAAATCCATACTTTGGGCACAGTGGCTCATGCCTGTAATCCCAGCATTTTGGGAGGCTGAGGCAAGAGGATAGCTTGAGCTCAGGAGTTCAAAACCTGCCTGGGCAGCATAGTGAGACCCTCATCTCTACAAAAAGTAGAAAAAATTAGTGGGGCATGGTGGTGCAAATCTGTAGTCTTAGTTACTCAGGAGGCTGAGGTGGGAGGATTGCTTGAGCCTGGGAGATCACGCCACTGTACTCCAGCCGGGGCAACGGAGTGAGACCTGCCTCAAAAAATAAATAAAAATGAAGCACACTTTGATCAGTTTGGCAGATGTGTGCCTTCATTAAGCCATCACCACAATCAAGATTATAAACACAGCCATCACCCCGTTTTTTGGTAATCCACCTTTCTCTCTTGCCCCTCTCAGCACCCCGACTCCCTCCCAAGCCTCCCAGGCAACGACTGGTCTACCCTCTCTCTGGATTATAGTTTCTAAGATTTTATATATATGCAATCATACATTATGTTTGTTTTTTTTTTTTTACTTTGCTGACTTTGCATAATTATTTGGAAATTCATCCACATTGTTGCATGCATCAGTAATTATTCTTTTTTATTGCTGAGTAGTGTTCCATTGTATGGTTATACCATGGAGTATCTATTCACCTGCTGCTGGGCTTTTGGATTCTTTTTTTTTTTTTTTTTTTTTTGAGACAGGGTCTCATTTTGTCACCCAGGCTGGAATGCAGTGACATGATCATGGCTCACTGCAGCCTTGACTTCCCTGGGCTCAGTTGATCCTCCCATCTTAGCTGGAACTACAGATGCATACCACCACCACACCTAATTTTAAAAAATAGAGAGAGAGATATGGGATCCTGTTTTGTTGCCCAGACTGATCTTGAACTCTTGGGCTCAAGCGATCCCCCTACCTTGGCCTCCCAAAGCATTGGGATAACAGGCATGAACCACTGCGTGCAGCCTGTTTCCAGGTTTTAGCTATTACAAATAAAGCTACTGTGAACACTCACGTAAAAGTCTTCGAATGAACATATCCTTTTATTTCCACCTCAGGAGTGGAATGCCTGGGTTATATGGTAGACATGTATTTAACTTTTTTGTTTTAATTTCTTTTTTTTTTTTTTTT